TCTGCCCCGGTGTAGCGGGCAGTTACCGCGCTCCGGTGGAGGAAGGCCGGGCTGATTGGGGGAAGCAATCAGGCCATGCCCGGCCCTGTTATAGCCCAGGGAGGAGCTGGGTCAGACTGACTCCAGCCCGGGCATGGCTGGGCTGGGGCCCCAAAAGTACTGGGGCAGCCCTGGGAAGGTCAGCTGGTCTGCCCCCCTTGCCAGTGATAAGTTGAGAGCGGGGTCTGGATGGCGACTGGCTGCAGCCACTGAGGCGAGGGGGGTTCCCCTGGGAGGGGAGACCCAGAGGGTGAGGGTACTGCTGGGGGCAGAACCCCAAGGTAGAGGGCACTGGGGTCCGGGAGGGACATGGGGGGCCTGAGGCAGAAGAGACACCAGCCAGCAGGAGGCGTTCCGAGTGCTGGGATCGAGCTAATTCCTGGATGACCAGCAGGAGGCGCCACAGCGGTGAGTGAATGAGCAGCTACACCAGGTCTCCCCCCCACCCTCCCCTCCACCTGGGGCCCCTCTGCCCCGGTCTGCCGCCTCGCCCCAGCCTCGCCGCCCCTCCAGCCCAGGCCCCTCTGCCCTGGTCTCCTGCCCACCCCCCTCACCTTATTCGTGGTGTAACTGTCCCAGATGATGAGTTTACCGTCCTGCGAGGCGCTGACCAGCAGCCTGGGGGGAGAGAGCCCATGTGAGCGCAGCTGGGCCAAGGGGCTGCCCCCCGGAGGCGGCCTGGCCCCACTGCTCCAGGCTGGTGCTAGGGGGCACTGTGCTGTGGGGCGGGGGCTCAGCAGGGGGTGCTCCTCTTCCACCCCCCCAGAGGCAGGGCTGGCCCCACTGAGCAGATATAAAGCCAGATGCTTATAATTTAGAAGCTTGGCCTGAGAACCTGCCCCGGGAATGGGACAGGAACCCCGGAGTCCTGGCCAATCAAAGCCAAAGCTGCTCCACGGCCAATGGGATAAAAGATCCTCGATTAGTTCCGGGCCTGAAACCTGCCCCAGAGGTGGGCGCATCTCCGTGCCGGGCGAGGGGTCCCTGGGGAACCGGCCGCCCCGCCCAGAGGTGGGCGCGTCTCAGCGCCGGGCGAGGGGTCCCTGGGGAACCGGCCGCCCCGCCCCAGAGGTGGGCGCGTCTCAGCG